AACAAACAATCACTCTAAAACTGCAATGAGAGAAATAAAAAAAAATAGTTCTTAGTAGTTAAAAGTTTCCCATACAAGGCTACAACGAATAACTCGGAAACTACAAAAATCGCAAAACAATGGGATGTTTAGGATGCCCTTAGTTTAGGGGATTTAATGTCTTTTAACGTCACTGTCTGGTTTACCCTGCATGTGATTGATAGAACGAATGCTGGATTAAAAAGCACCTGATCATCGAATCGGTTACAAGCAACAAACCCGCGTATTAACTCGTATCCTGTCGCTTAAACAGGTGTCTCTCCAACGATATTTCACATTCAGCCATCCGTGAACGCATACATACGTCAATCGCTAACATTTCTGCGCAAAACGCAACCTTATCTCAAGGAGACAGAGTGGTAGGTCTGCAGTACTGGATCATCCTTTTACCAGCAAAATGCATGTGAATCGTCCGTGCTCATTGAAAGATAAACTGTGCTGTTGATGTGCTTAGCAATTTCTGCAGATGAATAATCCTGTCTGCAATCGTACTTACCGCGAGTGTACTTTTGCTTCCCTTTTGTACAAACATACATACATATAGGGTGAAATTTAACTAGTGACCGATAGCGAAAACTCAGAACCGGCTGGTGACAAGGAACAACTTTCCCCAAGGAACATGGGTCGAAAGACGAAAAAAATTGTTGGACCTCCCATACAAAATTTCCGATCAGCTGATTTGAGTTACTATGGGCGGTCAATTTTTTTTTCGTATTTCGACCTATGTTCCTTAGGGAAAGTTGTTCCTTATCACCAGCCGGTTCTGAGTTTTCGCTATCGGTCACTAGTAAAATTTCACCCTATATATCTCTCGCGGGGTAGGCAGAGCGTAAACGGCCATTAAAATGGTCATTTACCACGTCTGACAAAAGTTTGAGAGTCATCCAGAAGACTGTATATCACCATAGTGACAGGTGGTCAGCCTGTCGCCTTAAATAGTACACATCGACTTTCAAATCCGTTTGTCACTTCTTACGACACCCATGAGAAGGATATGAGGTGATGCTATTCTAAGCCGGCACCACACGGCAGTCTAAGCCGGCACCACACGGCTGGTTTTTGTGAGTGTAGATAATATATAAAACATGTTTGACTACTGTTAAATTGACTTTCGAATATGTGCAAGGCTATTTGAATCTCTGGAGCTCTCTGGAGTACCAATCAAAACAATTGACAAGAAAAACCCTTTGAAATAAAAGAAAGCACTGAAAGTCCAGCCTAAAATCACATCTGCTAGGTATTTGTATTACAAAGAGTAAAGAAAACTAACACTTTACCTAGAACTCTTCAATTAATTTGACACAAAAAGCCGCTCTATCATTTTATTCGTCTCTTTATATCAAATATTTATTTCTCCAGGCCTTTTTACCAATTTAATTACGTAAAGTGTGTGCTAAGTCCCGCCGTGTGAAAATGCAGATCGCCAGACGTCAAATATCAAGTAGCAGGCTGCGGGTCTCCGTCTAGAGGTCACAGGCAGACTGACAAATGTTGAGCTACAGTAGATACACAAAATAGAGAGTTTACAGAAGGTTCACTCGACCCAATTTAGGATTCTCGTGACTGTCACTTGTTTAAAGGGGGGGGGCCGTTTCTCTAATTTGTGTAGCAGGGTCACTTATGCCAAAACACTCAAAGTATGAGAATATCAAAACAGCAAAATATGATACAAGAATGTCATATTACTCTGAGTCAATTTTAATCAAAGAAATATGACGTTCATGGCAACCATCTTCATAGTTACCTTGTATTGAGTTCCTCTGAGATTCCAGTTACTTCAGGTTAAAGTCAGTAAGCGTCGAAATTGTCGCTAGTAGATACTGAGTAAGTAAAGGCGCCTTGCGTAGAGAGAAGCAGAAGTAGTTCATGTTGTGTGGCAGGCATCAAATATCAAGTGGCTACAAGCCGTCAAGTGGTTACTTACAAGTACTTAGAAGCCGTCTAGTCTACTGTTACTTTCATCTACTACGACTAAGCAGTTAATAATAAATTGTGGATCACTGGAACGGTAGGTATAATCAAGTAAATTAGGTGCTATCTACGTCTAGACTGAAACTTATTTATTTACGATTGATGTTACTTATTTTTTTGAAAAGTGTTGATCAATGGTTGAGCTCTTATTAAGTAGGTAAATTAACTTAAACTTATTTCGTTTATTTATTGCGTGCGCAAAGTAGAAATTTCTTATTAAAAGTATCTGAAATAAATAAATTGGTTTTTCGATATTCACTCAAATGTAGTTATGATTGTATGTAGTTTTGTTTGGTTTTTACGCTGTAAAGGGAGAATAAAAGACGAAAAATATCCTTGTGACATAGGAGGCAACTGTTTTGTTTTTGATTCAGTTCTTTAGGTACCTAAGGTAGTGACCTTCCGACAGCTGTAGTTTCAAACACTTTATAAATCTATTAGATTTGAATCGATCTTGCGGGCTATACTTATACATTTTATGTTACTTTTTAGAAACAGCAACACACTCATTTCAAGACAACCCAAAAGCAACCGCTTTTAAGACATCACTTTGCATCAACCCGATAGACGCACACACGTCTGCCCTCGTGACGTCATAAAGCCCAATCAGTGTGACGTAAGCGGCAGCCGGGTTCTACTAAATACGAGAAACGCTGAAATATACGGGCAAAGGGGCTTTTAGGCTGCGGCTACAATAATAGCGGAAGCGAAATCGCTCTTGTGACGTCATAAAGACCAATTAGTATGCCATAAGTAGCAATCCGGGCAACTCGTACTAAATACGAGAATCACTAAAATATAGGGCGAAGCTGCTAGAAGCTGCTACCGGAAGCTAGAGTGATAGGTTCAAATCAAAAGCTTATGATATTATCGTGACGTCATAAAGCCCAATCAGTATGACGTAATCGGCAGCCGGGTTCCACTAAATACGAGAAACGTTGAAATATACGGGCTTAGGGGCTTTAAGGGTGCGGCTACAATACTAGCGGAAGCGAGAGTGATAAGTTGACTCGCTTCCACCTTTGTGACGGCATAAAGCCAAGCCAAAACGTAAGCGACAGTGATGTCTGGTGATGTTATGTTATAAGAATAGCTGAAATATACGGGCAAAGGGGCTTTAAGGCTATAGCTACAATAATAGCGGAAGCGAGAGAGATAGTTTCAAGATTCAACGTCTAAAAGCCCAATCAGTATGACATAAGCGGCAGCCGGGTTCTACTAAATACAAGAAACACTGAAATATACACGGGCAAAGGGGCTTTTTAGGCTGCGGATACAATGCTAGCGGAAGCGAAATCAAACGCTATAAGGCCCGAGACGTTATAAGGCCCAATCAGTAGGTATGCCATAAGCGACAATCCGGACAACTCGCACTTAATACGAGAAACACTAAAATATACGGGTTAAGGGACTTTAACGCTGCGGCTACGATGTTAGCGGTAGCGAGACCGATAAGTTGACTCGCTTCTTCGAGTACCTTTGTGACTTCATAAAGCCAAGCCAAAACGTAAGCGACAGTCGGACTGGTGATGTTATGTTATTATAAGAATAGCTGAAATATACGGGCAAAGGGTTCATGGATGCGTCTACAATACCAGCGAAAGCGAGAGCGATAGGTTCAAGATTCAACGTCTAAAAGCACAATCAGCATGACGTAGGCGGCAGCCGGGTTTCGCTAAATACGAGAAACGCTGAAATATACGGGCAAAGGGGCCTTAAAGGTGTGACTACAATACCAGTGGAAGCGAGAGTGATATGTTCAAGGTTCAAACTCTTCTGCCCTTGTGAAGCCAATAATTATGAGCCAAGGAGCCAAGTCCCGCTAAATACAAGAAACGCTGAAAGATACGAAGGATTGACCCAGAGTATGATGTTTCAGAATTGTGCTCTTTTAAATGGTGGAAATCAAAACTGTAGCAAACTGTTTCGATTTGGTTCTGAGTCCAAGAGTTTCAGCCCACTTCCACTTACAAAATAATGCTCCAGTGCCACAGATGTGACCTTACCTGAAGCATTTTAACGAGGTCGAAAACCGGAGAACTAATAGCGCCACTCTCGAGTGATTGGTCGACAATATGTCAATGTCAAAGTTTAGTTACTTATTTGTTGTCATTCCGTCATCTAAGCACACTTGCGCCTGCTTCAATCTGCAATAAGCTTTGAGTTTTCCGCTCCCGCTTCCGCTTGTACTATGCTTATGGCCTTGCGTACGTTATGATGTGCTATTTTTCACCGAAGGCAATCAGGCCGCCTGCCTTTTTCTGCGCTTTTTTTCTCGACTCGGAGTGATCGTACTTATGTAAGTACCTACGTTTTGTGAATGGTTTTCGTGTAATACTTTTCGCTCAAGCAAGTTGATTTTGATTTACAAGGCACAAAATACTTACGTAAAGTAAGTATTATCTTATATTTTTATTTTTTTATATGAAATGTCTTTCTGGCATTCCTATACAAATCAGTAATTTTGACGGCGCACCACGTTGCGTCAAGCTCAGTCTTTAAGGACACCTTTAGGTTGTAGCTTATCGATTCGGTTATGCAAGCACTCATCGCGTATTAAAACTTGTAAGAAAGAATTCATAGCTACAATCCACCCCCATTTTGTCATGTCTCGCCACAGAAATAGCAATAAGTGCTAGAGATTAATGTGACGTCAGAGAAACCACTCTGATTACAGCCCCGGCACGCCATTCGTCATATAACTTATGATATTTTTCATCTTCTTTCCGAGTGGGCCACCGAGTAGTCTAATGACCCGATGAACCCTAATGTCAAAGTTTTTCAATCGCCTACTACAAGTAGCAGGCCTCTGACATGGTTGTGTAACGACAGCTGCCTCGGTAATCATAGACAGCAACCGGGACCGACGGCTTAACGTGCCCTCCGAAGCATGGAACCATCTTGCTTTCGAACAAGCAGGTGGTTCAGCCTGCAATGTCCTAACCAGACTGGGAACAAATTCACAAAGTGATAAATATCAACTTTGTGAGTGACCCACCGGGAATTGAACCCGAAACCTCCTGCGTCGCAGGCAGTCGCACCACCACTGAGCCACATCGGCTGTCATAACTTATGATGACGTCATTTCTCTTTTTATTTCGCCCTCTGTCGATTTGGGAAGCGTTTTTGCGCGCCATTACCCTGGCGTTTAAATATCTCTGTGGGAAATGCTTTTGGAATCGTCTTGAATCTCTCTCTGCTAACACATTTTGTATATGACGTCCAAAATAATTTTTCTTCGCGACCTAGCTGTTATCACTGGGAAAAGTTAAGCATAATGACGACACTAGTCTGTGAATATTACCTACTGTTCTATTTAATCGTACCACGTAATACCTACTTCTTGTAACTACATAATGAAATTCAAGATTGTATGAGCTCAATATTGACATTACCAGAGAAGTAAATAAAATATAGCAATTTCTTGGGTAGAACGGTAGAACACCTACGCTTACAAGATGTTTAATATAATATCAGATGTGTTGAGTTGGTAACATCTCATAATCCTTAAAGACTATGTTATTAATTATTTTTAAATGGAGATGAAGCTTCGGTAGGGCTATCACACATTGACGAAACTCTTAGGCGCAAGCTGCCTATGCATAGTAAAAGTTGTTCAGAATCACGAGTAGAAACATCCTGCAAAGTTTGCGCACTGACTAAAAATAACTCTGTATAATCAAGCGTTCATAACAATTCCTTCCTTCGGAACGGCACGCCGAAAGTAAAATTTCTGGTATCCATAATTATCTTGTGTTCTACAACTCTAGCCAAAAACTGGCAACAAAAATTGACTTTTATCGATCTTATTCACTGTAGCGGAACACAGAAGCCGTGGCTGGCTCACCCCATGGCTATGATGATAATGGGCTGGCAGACGAAGTGTTAAATATTCATGAGGATAATTCGACAGATTCCCTTAACGATAGCGCGTTTAAAACCACTCTGTAGCTAAGCCGCAGGCGATATGGAGATGGGGCAGATTGTAGATATGGGAAGTGTTGATAATCGTGATAAAAACTGGTCTAGGACTAGTCCGTGCCTAGCAGTGGCAAGGGTCCATACATTCCGATTTCCATCCCGTTCAAAAATTTATAAATTCATACTCTCACATCAATCTACTCTTAGTTAGTACATTTTGTCGCTCGGCCTATTGATAAGGCTGTTAGAACGAGTGTGTACCTTCTAGATGTTTGTTGTACTATGCTGCCTACGTTCGTATGACTTATTGAATTCATATATTTGCTGTTTAGAGTGAAGTCCCTTGATTGATACTTGACTTTTCTCTTTCTATAAGTTTGCCTTTTATCTGGGTCGGCAACCTGCATGTCTCGGAAGATACGTCCTCCTCACATTACATACATTACCTATGTTTTCTTTACATACTTATGTACATATCTTTTTGCGTAAAGGCAGGTAATATAACATCAGGATTTATGACATGTTATGTATATTATTCTTACGTAAACAGTTTTGCTTTATCTCTCCCCAAAAACTGACATAAACCTATCAAGTTACATAACCATAACTACTTATGTAAGAACAAGCCACTTTCCGAACATAGTGTTTTTGTTACCCATAAACAATGTTATAACCTAACATTAAGGGAAATGGCGACTATAATACAACCTTTCAAAAGTGACGAAACGACCGGCGTAACTTTTACTGTGTATACGTAAGAGACATCACATGTGACTTGGAGAGGTTTATATGAAGTCATTGTTTTATCAAGAGGTTTATTGTGAAGAAAGATCACAAAGTATAATTTTATTCGTGAAACAACTGTGGTTGTGGTCATGTATTTACTTACGTGAAGTTGGTCTATAGGTTGCCAGACCTAGGTAATCTAACTTCCAACGATACACTAAAATTCAGGGTCCACTTACTTTACCGCTATTCCAGCGCCGACTTGATCAGGAGTAGAAGTGGTCGCCATGGCCGAAACCGGCCGGAAAGATCATCATCATCATCATCATTATCATTCCAGATGGTGGTTAAAGATTTCATATGGGTTGGTTCTCTACTCTTGGCTGGAACCACGATTATTACGGACTAGACAATCACACTTCTATGCACACAAAATCTTAACAGTGTTTATACGTATAGAAGGAACGTGCTCTCGACCATTATAGCACGTCCAGTTGCTGCTTGGGAATAGACACCTTTATTCATGTCCCATTTTAAAAAATGTGAATTTTTGACTTACTTGGATGTGTCTATTTATTTTACATCTGCTATAAACGAACCACGTACTAAAACGTCATCAACATAAAGTACCCACCTAGCTACTGTAACCAGGTATGAACTGTAGAGCTAATTCCCATCTGATGTGCCCACCCTGCCAAACTGCCAAATGACGCCGTTTGCATGAAGCCGGGATTGTATTTAATCTACCTTTTGTACATAGGCGGGATAGATAACATAAATATGACAGTCAGTTATGTTACGATTGAACTATATAAAACTACTGTGTCTATTTTTAAGTCCTTCTTCGTCTTTCTAACCCGACCCAATAAATAGAAATATAGGCATACTAAATTCTCATTTTCTGTTGGTACTATCGCTAGCATACCAACCTACCAATTCAGGGTCAACTTATTCTGGTTCCTCATACAAATACTAAGAAGAAACACTATTGATTGATTCCTTAAATGGATAGGCGGATGTACTGACAACAGTACATGCAAAGTTGAGTGAAAGTCAATATTATAGTTCTGTAAATACATAGGCCACTTGGTAGCGGGTTACATAAAGCTGACTACACTATAGTGTTCCAAAGGAAATACAATAAATTGGAGACGTTGTGTAGACCATTGTACTGAACAATTTCCATTATGGCACCTAGTTTGAATTCTTAACCATTAAAAAGTTAAAATTTTCATACAAACTAAATGCCTACATTTACTACAACCATTATGTATTACCCCTTATCCAAGATTGCAACCTTGCATTTTTAACTTGTTGGATTTGAATCTTCGAAAAAGTTTGGAACATAGTTGTCTATGTTTTAAATTTAAACGAAAACTTAAGACAAAAGATCTCTTTCTTTGGTGTTATTTTATTTTATTGTCACCTCAAACTAAAAACTTATTTTGACTTAGAGCATCCATAGAGACGCAAAGACAAAGGGCCAATCAGAGAACCAAGTAGAGTCTGTAGTGTCAGTTATGTCAGTTTTTGACGAACATGACATTTGACCTTGGTCTACGCCACAACTGTTGCCTTGGCAACTAAATTACCGCCAAAACCGTTGCCTTGGCAACAGTTGTGGCGGTAATTTCAAAAGTTTTTCCAAGACGGCAACATGACATAAATAAAGGTCATGATCAATAAAGCTTCTTTCATAATGTGAGACTCAATTAAATTTAACAAACATAAGTTGCTAATTACTTCTAAACGAGGGGTTTTCATAACTTGGCCCCATAATGAAAATTATTCGGTACGATGGTCTACACAACGTCTCCAATTTAATGTATTTCCTTTGGAACACCTTGTATTTACTTACCCTACCTAAGTACATTCATGGTTGTACTGTAGCCAGCAAATCCACCTACCCATATAAGGGACCACCCTTCACTGGTTTTTCTTAGTATTTGTTTAAGTTGGTTTCTTAAATGGGTCTTCAGTAGCTCATCCAGTTACCATTTAGCAGCTGTACGTGGAACCAGAATATTTTGGTCTCTTACGTCTCCTTCTAAATGACCCGATGAACCCTGGTATCAGAACTTTTGTACCACCTACTATTAGTAGTAGGTCTCTGAAATAGTTTTTGTAACGACCGTCTTCTGTTATGTAGGCAACCAAATCATAGACAGCACCCGGGACCGATGACTTAACGCTCGCTCCAAAGCATGGAACCATCTTTCTTTTCGGGCAATCAGTTGGTTGACTCTGCAGTATCTTAACCAGACTTGAGAGCAATTCACAAAGTGATAAAATGACAACTTTTTGAGTGCCCCACCGAGAATCGAACGAACGCGGAACCTTTGGTTGCAGGCAGTCGTACCTTGCGCGCTGTCTTCCTAATTTGTGCTACCACTGCGCCATATCGTTACCCACTTATTTTTATTTGGGTACCTTGATGTGCTGCTGATAGTACGTGATTGCTCTAAGCAGCATGTGGTTACAGCTGCTACCGTATGTCTATTAACTATTAGTAGCTGTAATGTTACGTTTATACGTTTCTCTATAGAAGATCCATTAGAAGCACGCGTAACGTACCTATCTGTTGTAATGGGCATTATGAAAAGTGAATTATGGATAAACATAAGACTAAAATTATGTATTGTCAAATCCGCAAAGCACCCATTTGTAACCAACTAAAAAGCTAATCTTTTTACCTGACTGTCTCAGAAAGACAGTTATGTTAACTAGCTAGTATGCATGTAAGTATGTAAATTCTTTCTCACGGTCTACAGCGTAAATGACTTGACGGATTTTTTGCCCAAAAGACGTCCCGCTTGTGTTGCACGTTGCGGTTTATCCATGTTTATTCGAAAAGTTGGTATTGAAGATAGAAGAAAACTTGCAACTTATCCTACGCAACTGGTGGATAATTATCATATTAAAACATAATTCACCATAAATATAATATACCTATTTCTTCGGCACCATGACATTGAAAACCCACAATAAATCTCGCAACAAATTGTCGCCTATGTTATCTTTGTCGCAGTAACGACGCAAAATTAGGCAATTCGCGTTCAGACGGCATGTACAGCAATTTAACGCGCAGAATAAGACGTGCAAATAGTAAATGTGCGCCATTACGGACGCTCGGCACGGATCTGCATTGAGATTAACGACCGCCGCTCCACAGTGTGTATAGGCCTTTATATAGTAGTACACTAGGCCTTTGTGTAGGTTTCAATTGATTTTGACGACGCCTTATACGCAAAAAAATAAACTTAAAGCCAAAATTTTACGGCTACGGTGCTCTGCAAATAGGTGCGGCGGCGACCATTCGCTGAATTTATAATCATATTCTTTTCCGCCTAGGTTCTTCGCCAATGTATTATTTGTTACAATTTGAAATTGGGGCCCAAACTTATACCAGAC